ATGAGACGAAGCAATCATTTTAAATGGTGTAGTCTAAATCATAAAAATTGGCGTTAGGTGCTTCGGAGTATTGTTAAGTTAGCAGCAATTAACAGGAAACCACAGAAAACTAATGCAAGGTTTTTTTATTAGTAGAAAATGTCAAAATAAAAATGGAGTTTGGCTTTCAACAAAAACAATTCACACAAGTTTTCATTATTTTAGTTTTTTTTTTTTTTTTTTTTTTTTTAATGCTGCCCTTAAGTAAAATGATATTGAGACACAAATATGGCATTAAATAGCATCAGTTTATTGACTCCCCATAGTTACCAATGTCTGCTTTAAACAGGATAGAAAAACAGACTGTGCTCTCCACTGTGCAGCTTCTAAGGACGATGCAGAAAGCTGCCAATACCTGACCTGCCCTGGACCTGGGCAGAAGGCAGGTACCAAGGCTCCATGACATACCCAACTGCTTTCTGGTCTCATATCCAACCTTTCACTTTTAGTGTACACTGCAGACACTACTGTTCTCCATATGAAATCCTATAACACTGAAGATCTATGTTAGTGATGTGAAATAATGTTTAACAGAACATGTACAATGTGATTTAGATGTGATGGAAAGATAATCTAGAAACTGTGTTAAAAAACAGTGTGACAAACAGGTTTATATTATCAAATTTTTTTGTTTGTAAAATTGACTAAAGGTTTAAGAATACTAGACCATACCCTGCTTTGGAAAAAGCTATAAACATGTTGGCAATAAACTTTACCCTATACACTACTTATTGGTAGAATGCAGAGTATAAACAGCACTGCTCCCCTAAAGGTTCTGGCATACCAAATGGATTCATGCTGGGGTCATTATAGTGATGAAAAGTCTTATGCCAGTGTCTAAGAATCTTCATATATGCAAAATGATGCATGATTGAAGGAGATGATCTTATGAAAATCTACATAACTGCAGTGCTTAATGCCTATGTCTTCATGTGCAAATAATGAAATTTATTTGGTATGCAGTGCTTTGTACACGTGGTTTGCTGGCTTTACAGAAGGATTTACAGGAGGGATAACAATATTCCCAAGCAGTATTCTAGCTTGTTATATGAATCTCCTGGGGCCCTCTTATTCTTTTTAAGGTAATCAATCTGTCTAGAAATTTTAAAAATTAGATAAATTACTGTGATATCTCTATGCATAAAAGTCAATTCCTCTTACAGCATTGTTCCAGTGTATAGATGGATATTTACAAATGATAAACTATCCTCAGTGGCTGTTTTTGCTCACTCAAATGAACATTTCCAGGTAGTAGCAGGATTTTGCTACTATAGGCCATGTACACACAACAGTTCTTGGTGTGCTAGGTATGAGCCTAGTGTAACAGACCTCATATTTCCCATAAGGTAGTGCAAAAAGCAATTATATTGTGACAATTGTAGTGAACCATAACCAATAAGAAATCGGCATGTAACTGGTCTGACTACAGTAAGCTAGAGTCTTGTTGCAAGCAATACAGCAATTTGGTGTCATTACTATTATTGTGCTGCTTTACTAAATAAGTCCAATGCTGTAGTCATCATAGTCATAATGGCTTTATGTCTTGGTATGTCCTGTTTCATGGCTTGTTGCAGATAGCTAAATATTAACACTCTATGGTGCATACGTGACTACCATGGTGCATAACTACTGAGTGTATTCAGCTTTAAGAATCATTCTGTTTTTGGGTTGTGTTTTTCAGGCTGGAAATTCTCTACGATATTTGTTGAGGGACAGGAGTCTTTTACACCACTTGCTGAAGCAGTTCCAGGAACTCATTAAAACCTAATATCATGCTTGCCAACACTGATGTAATCACACAAAATAGCTCTATTAGGGCCCCCCACATTCCACAACAGCACTTTAAATGCATTAAAAATAGCCAAAATCACTCATTATTTACTCTTTCTATAGCTTAAACTAAAGCTGGCTACTTGGATTTAAATTTGGCTGGTTCAGCAGGGACTGGTTGAGATTCGATCCAAGTATGGGCAGGCTGATTATACCCCAGGCAATCCTTCGATCAACTTGAGTACAACCAGCCTGTTGGATTTTTTTTTTTTTTTTTTTTACATTCTATTACTGCCAGCGGCTATAGCTGCTAGCAGTAACCATTGTGTTCTAACCTCCATGAAGGAACCCACCAGCAAAACACAGTAGTGCCACGGGAAACATTCCCCCATCAACCTGTGGTGGAAGGAAAGAAATTCGAGTAATCTATGGGCTGTTTAAGGCTAGATTCTGGGACACTTAAGATAGTAAGTACCCATGACAGGACTGATAAGTCAAAACAGAGTTACATATTTGTAGACTTACAAAAGCCTGTCTTGTATCGTACTATAAAATGATAAAAAACAATCAAAAGAACTACCATGTACAGTTAGCTCCCACAAACATGGCAAAGCACAAAATTCTTTAACAAACGGTCTCCTTATTTCAATTCTTAGGCCTCTCTGTTTCTGCTGTAAATCTTACATATACTCTGGTATACTAGTGCATTTTTAATGAAAGAGAGGGCAAAAGATCGTCAGTAGCATTTAGTGGATCAAAACAGCAAATAAAATAGGGCTAGTACCATCAAATGTAGTGGAAATTATAGCAAACTTGCAAGGTCTCTTTGTCAGACTGTTAACCTAATTGGTAAGGGTTTTCACTTTGGCTGATTATTTTAGGTTTTACCCCAATCACTCTTGTCATTCTTACACACAGCAGTGCTACTCTATGGCTATCACAGTACCACTCTTAGAATTCAGTGAAAAAAGGCAAGACTATAGTTATGCATCTTGTCTGATCTGTAAATAAGTTATCGAATATAGTAATAGGGTAGATAAATCTTCCCAACTTACAGCACTGGTCAAACCTTGCTTTTTTATATGAATATGCTAATATTTTTCTGGTCAAGGCAGAATCACACTATACTATACTCTCTTTATATGCCAAAGCACTCCAGGTTTGTCTTTATTACTTGGCAAACTTAGACCCATTGCTGATCAAAAGTATCACCTTCTGGAAGAGTTAGAAAAATATTTTCTGGGCCATTTAAATAATATTTGGTGCCATTTTGGTCATACTACTCAGTGATGTCATACATTTAAAAAAATTAAATAAATTTTATATTTGAAATAGATTTTCCCCTGTACAAAATGCATATCTTTCTCAAACTTTCACACTGCCTGCTTGAGTCAACACCCGTGTAGATCTAGCATGGCAACAGGTACTACTATTTGAGCCCCAAGTACATAGACATAGGTAAAAATAAAATATTGGGGATCTAGGATCTCTTAATACAGCAAGTAAAGTGCATTCTATAAAGATCTCTTTTTTGGCATGCCTCTTCACACCTTACCTCCATAACCCTAAAAATTGAAGTGCTCATGTATGGAGAAATTTCCCACGTGAAAACAAATTGGTGGAGGGGAGCTTGTGTACAAAAGTGTTCTATGTTGTCCGGCGCAATAGACCTCAACTGTAATTTTTCCATTGCACATTTAAAAATGTAGGAAACAATCTGATTGGTTTGCCATGGGCAATTAAGAACACTTTTTTCTATATATACACACACCAGACCCGCGATGTAGGAGGAAGTCAGTGATCCTGGGTGAAGGCTTTGTCTTCAGCATGTTTCTCAGGATAACCTTTCCCACCCTGTTGCTCATTTGGAACATATGTCCAATATGTTCACCTTGAAACATAAAATAGTGTAATTCACAAGAAAACAGGAAGGATTCCTAGAAAGTGTGCTCCAGTATTACTTGCAAGCAGTACACAAAAAAAGTAGAACCTTTTTTTCTGTTTTACAGAAAAGTAGAAAAGCTTAAATATAACTGAAAAAGGTTTAAGTGAGTCTATTTACAAACAGATATTGCAAAATGGTAAATTAGATATGATGCTAAAAAGGCACAGCTTTCCCTTCCTTAAATACACTGTAAACAGTTCAGAATCCATGCAAAACATGTTCACTTTACAAAAAAAATTACCTTATTTAGACAAAAAAAGAGTACTTAAATATTCTCCATCAAAATAGAATTCTTTCAAAAATACTTTCCTATACTTTCCATTCATCCTTAGTCATTAAAGATTTTTTTTCAGTCTAATTTACAAAAATTACCATACAGTTTTGTTGATTCAGGTCCTTCACAATTTATACATATACAGCAATATACAATACAGCATAGACTGCGTAAAATTATTTGTAAAGCCAGCACAATATAGCTAATAAAAATCGAGATGGGGCATTTGTTTTAACATCTTATCACATTTCATTTGACTGAAATAAATGCCTGCTTTACACATCAGGGGTTCATGTGAAACTTGCTGCATGCTTACATGGCAAAGGGAGTGAGGACTATGCCTCCAATGGCACAGCACTGGCGCCAAATGCCATCTCTGCAGAAAACAAAGCAAAAAATAATAGAGGGCATTGCCTTCATCTTGCAGTATGACTGATAACATGGGACAACAAATGCCACAAAAAGTAAGTGATTATCCAACATCAAAGGTTCCTTGTTATTTTATACAACAGCTTTTTATTGTTTTCTCGTCAGCTTTCTCTTTGTTTTGTACAAGAAAAGAATATGTAATGCCCCATATTGATCGTACACGTTGTGTGCAAACCGAGGGTAACCATTTAAAAGTCTTCTTGTGTCCATGAACCCAAATGAAACAAAGCAAGAAACTCCATGGCATTTTTTTCTAATTTCAATGTTAAAATATCAAAATGAATCAGTCATTGACTAGATATGGCTTTTTATCCATAGGAATAGGAGTAATTATCAAGTGTTTGGGGATGATGCTGGCTGCATTTTCAATGATTCCAGGCATGTTTTCTTCAGTCCCCAAACAGTGTGATTTCTTTATGTTATTCAGCTTAAAAGAGTTGATCTTCCTTGTCTTTAAAAGAATAAAAAAAAGTTTCTTATATCCAGCTTGTGATGGAACATTGAGGAAACTTAAGGCAAAGTTTTCCTGCAAGACTCTTCCAGTTACTTTCTATGAAAGTACAAAGGCTTGGCATTCCCCGCCTCTACCTTTGGTAACTGATCACTGATTATTTCCACAAGCATAGCAGGAAACTCCACTTTCAGCGCCTGAGATTCCCTAAAGGTATAGAAGCAGAACTCCAACAAGTCTCCAACCACCTGCAAAACAAAGAGAATTTTATATTATTAAATGGGTTGGATTTAACCATTTAGTGCCAAGGCATGCCTGTAAAAAGGGCTCCCACCTTTTTAAGTCTCTACAGTTGAGTACATTTCTATAACAACTGGGTATATGTCATTCAGAATGCTTGTATGTATCAAGTAATACAAATGAATCATATGAATGTTCATCTGGCGCCCTCCTTCCCCCAACCCCAATAGTTGGAAAGCAGCAGACTGACCAGATCAACTCAAGATTTCTTTAGACTGAAAGTTTACAAAGTGTTCCTTAACCAACATAGATATATGTGTGCTCTAGGTTTCTGGAATTGCATGGGACTGCTCTCTCAAGTTAACATGCCTGGAACACTTCCAGTGAAATCCCTACATAGGGCATTTATACAAGATGAACAAAATATAGTATGTCATATATAGTTTAACCTCTCACATTGATGGAAGAGCTTCTCTACTCCAAGGCAAACGTGTGGTAAGACAAGTAAACTTGTTGGCTTACTATGGACAGTGAGCACAGTGACCTGCAGACAAAACTGATGAGCTTGAGTTCTCACGAACTCCAAGCAACCAGACGAAATACTGGTATGTGATCTCTTTAATCTGCAAAAAAAAGAGTGGCATTCTTCGTGATCCAGACTTTCCTACCAGGGAGCATAGCCAGGTTCAAAACCTCCCTACAGTTTGGCCAATGGCCTTGTCAGCAGCCCCTCAACCCCCCCCCCCATACTGTGATTGGACAAAAGATGGATCAACATGCTGATGAGGTCATTTATATGCTCCTCTCTCATTTAATCATGTTCTGTGTAAACAACTGTCCTGATTTGTCCCCCATGAATTTTTCCTTGCCAACTTTAATGTATATGTATATATGTAAACCCCTACCTTGTAAAACATGTTCGGTTTAAAATAGAAATGAAAGGCAAAACATTTAGTGTATAGATATAAAAAATATAAACACATTGTTTTCCCTTTTTTATAAGTGATCACATACCCTCTGTTCTCAGTTGCGTAAGAGCTGGGGGAGGAGAAACAGCAGCACACTGACCTTCCCCAGTGAATGACTGCAGGGGGTGTAAGGACAAGTCTGATCTTTGGAGGAGAGCAGGCTGAATTCCCAGCACAGCTAGAGAAGTGACCACGATGTGTTCTCCTGCTTAGTGTGGTCAATTTTTAATTAGGAAAGCAGAGGGACTGGCAGGAACACCAGGGACTTCACATAAAGGAAGCACTATAAAGAGAATAGTACATGGCACAGCAGGTACATATCAGGGATATGAAATGTTGGGTTGACATATTCTTTAACCACTTCAGGTCTGGACACTTTCACCCCCTTCCTGTCCAGGCCAATTTTCAGTTTTTAGCGCTATCACACTTTGAATGACAATTGGGCGGTCATGCAACACTGTACCCATATGAATTTTCTAGCATTTTTTTGAGACAGATAAAAATTTATTTTGGTGGTATTTATTCACCACTGGGATTTTTATTTTTTTTGCTACATAAATGAAAAAGTCCAAATATTTTGAAAAAAAGTGTTTTTCTTATAAAATTTTGCAAATAAATAATCTTTCCTCATACATCTTGGTCAAAATTTATTCATCTATCTTTTTAGTAAAAAAAAAAAAACCCAAATTAGTTTATAACCAAAAATTATATTTTTAAAAAAATTTTTTTTTTACATTTTTATATTATTATTTGTGGTTTTTTTTAATATACCGTCACCCTAGTAGTACAGTGTCACCATGTGACATTGTACTACTTGTGGGGGGGGTGATGAAGATTTTTTTGTCTTTTTTTTACACTAATTGCTTTTACACCCATAAAGGCTGTAAAAACAATCATTTCTCCTTCTCTCTGGCTGCATTCTTGCAGCCATTGAGAAATACTGTGAGAACTGTGATTGGTCACAGCTTGTCACATGGTACAAGGCTGTTGTGAATAGCCTTGTACCATGTGACCTCTATGATCATTCCCTGATTTCACACGTAGTAAGCAATGTCAGGAAGTGACATCTTGCTTGATTCATGTGATCACTGATTGGCCAATCAGGGATCACATGAAGTAGGACCTCACACAGAGGTCCCATACAGCAATCGATGTTCCCAGGGAGTGAGCACAGGCAGTTAATGCGGGGCTGTTTATAAACGTCAACCCGCTTCGGCACTGCTCCCGTCCAGCCATTTCTGTACATGGGTCGGACGGGAAGTGGTTAAGCATTGCTATGCAGGAGGTTACAGAAGGCCAACATCAGGCCAGGCTGCCTGTGGTCAGACTGGCCTCCAAGCTACAAGCCGGCTTCACTCAGCCCACATTTCCATTTATTACATTTTACTGTTGCCTTCCTACCATCTATTTCTTAGGAATCTGAAATGGTTCAATAAAGCATTTACTTTAAACACAGTGGGGTTGATTTTCTGAAGAAAAATGAGGTAAATCTGTGTTTACTTTGAATAACTAATCGTATACAAAAGAAAATAGAAAAAAATGGAATTCTTTCAGAGCACGAGGTTTGTTAAAGTGAGCATTGCTTCTATTCCTTTAATACATCAGCCCCAGTGTATATTCACATACTGTACAAAGCTTGAACAGAATTTACACTGAAAAGTTTACCTGCCCCAAACCCTTTTCCTTAATACACTGATAATATAGAGAGGTATAAAGAATATTTATGCTACGCACACAAGCAACATATCTTCACATAATGTGATTTGTATTCTACTCCTATGTAACACTGAGCTCCTGCTGTCTTCTAGGGTTCCTCTAGCTGTTCCAGTTCACTTAATGCTTTGTCATGTATCCTTCGAGCTTCAAGATATTTTCTATCACCAGTGTGCCTCTAGCTTTGCCACAAGTGAGCACCATTTTAACAGTTCCCAAAGGAAGAGATATTCTAACAAGCTTACAGTTAGAGCCGCGGTAAACATAAAACTGACATTAAGTGGTTTGCTCTTAACTTTTAGCACTTTGTTGGTACATGTGTTAGTTTCAGAAAGTGTCTGAGTTTTTCCTTAAATTAAACTGTGCCGGGATACAGATGCCACGGCTATATTGTTTTACCGCCTGGAAGTTCTCAAACTTTCATCCCCATTTTCTCACTTTTTACTTTATGAGGCTGTGGCCTGGAACCAGTATACACGCTGGAAGATCCAACTTTATTAGCTATACAGTACTAGTTCCACTTACTGTCTAAATCACAACAAATCAACTGAGTTATAGAGAAGAACAGAATTACATTAACCACTTGCCTACCGGGCACTTATACCCCCTTCCTGCCCAGGCCAATTTTCAGCTTTCAGCACTGTTGCACTTTGAATGACAATTGCGCGGTCATGCAACACTGTACCAATATTACCTTTCTATAATTTTTTCACACAAATGGAGCTTTCTTTTGGTGGTATTTAATCACCACTGGGTGTTTTATTTTTTGCGCTATAAACAAAAAACAGCAAAAAATTTAAAACAAAAAGTTTTTCTTTGTTTCTATTATAAAATTTTGCAAACAGGTAATTTTTCTCCTTCACTGATGTGTGTTGATGAGGCAGCACTGATAGGCAGCACTGATGAGGTGGCATGGATAGGAAGCACTGATGAGGTGGCACGGATAGGAAGCACTGATATGAGGCACTGATAGGCAGCACTGATGGATACTGATAGGTGGCACTGCTGGGCACTGATGGGCGGCACTGATGGGTGGCACTGCTGGGCACAGGTGGGTGGCACTGATGGGCACAAGTGGGTGGCACTGCTGGGTGCAGGCAGGTGGCACTGCTGGGCGCAGGAGGGTGGCACTGATTGGCACAGGTGGGTGGCACTGATGGGCACAGGTGGGTGGCACTGGTGGGCAGAGGTGGGCAGCACTGCTGAGCACAGGCAGGTGGCACTGATGGGTACAGGTGGGTGACACTGTTGGGCACAGGTGGGTGGCACTGATGGGTACAGGTGGGCGGCACTGCTGGGCACTATCAGTGCCGATCACTTCTCTGACAATTGCTGGTTATCGGCAGTACTTTCCTCATGCTGTGACAGTGTAAGGAAAGTGCAGCTGATAACCGGAAAATGTATTTACCCGTTGATCTGTTTACCATATCATGTGATCAGGTGTGTCTGTAGGACACAGCGATCACCCGCGGTGCCAGGTGCATGCCGCTAGGGGCGCACAGGGGGCGTGTTCTGGAATTACATCCATGGAACTAGACAACCACGCTGTAGTTGTCTTTCGGCTATAGCGTGGTAGGGAAGATGTTAATATATAATGTTTAATGAGGAAATATCACTTCTATAATTGAAAGGATAGAAAGGCAATGCCTTTCAGTCTTTCAAAAATAAAAAACCAACAAAAATACATTTGAATTCCCTTTATGTATAATCACAAGACTAAGATCTTTTTAAAAAAGCTGAGTCTTTAAGGAAAGGACATTTGGCCAATCAGCAGCTAACGCACATTCGCACTAACCATGTTTAATACATAAAATTCTGTCACGCAGCATGTACACATTTCCAACGCTTGTCCTCTAAGTAATACTTTGATGAAAGACAGGATAAACTGTCAGTCTACACATAGTTCTGAACTATACAATTAGTCCTAGCCATACTGCTCCATTCAATACAATACTATTATTGTCCTATAGGTGTCATTAAAGGGAAAGAAACAGAACTCAGTGGAAGCACACACAGCCTATTTCCGGAGCACGTCTTTTCCTTCGAAGAGTAACCTGAGGTAATGCTTTAAAAACTGATTTCTTTTTTCATTGAATTCCATCTCAAGAGAAGCATGGAGGCTGCCACGTCTGAATTCTCTTTCAGAAAACACTAGTTGCCTGTCTGTCACGCTGATCCTCTTACTTTAGTATCAGAGTCACTGACCTGAATAAAGTCCACAGGCCCGACCTTCCAACGTGTCTCTGATTTTTCAGATTTGCATACTCGTGGGTCAGTGACCTAAACAATACTGAAGTTGGTGGTTCAGCCAAGTAACCATTATTTTT